GGCCCTCGGGCTCCATGGACGGGCGCCGCGCTCCTGCACAGCCCGCCGGAGAGGTACGGCCCGGACAGGGGCGCGGGGGCGGCTCCAGCCGCGGGGCGCGTGACCGTGAGTGTGCGCGACCGTGTGTGCGCGGGGGGCACTGCTGGGCCGGGCGGGGGGGCGAGCGCACCTGCGCACAGGCTCCGCGAGCTGCGCCGTGCGTGGGACCCGACATGGCTCACTAGTAGGAGCGGGACCGGGTGCCCGGGAACGTGGACGCAGGACACGCAGCGATACAAAAGGAGGGTGCAGGGCTTCTGCCTCCCCTGGCCGGCCACGATGCCGAAGGGGCTTCTGCGTCCCGGTCACACTAGCTCGCCCTGCGCAGCCCCATGGGAAACGGGCCTGGAATTCCTGTTGGGAGGAGGCGGGGGGAAGGGGAGCCTGTAGGGATTCCAGAGTTGCTGCCATAAGCCGGCCTTTGGCCATCAGGAAAAGCCCAGACCCTGGCCACAGAATGGAGAATGTGACCTTACCAGGGGAGGAAGTGACCCTCAGAGGCAGCAGTGTACTTCCTTGGTGAAGCGGCACACTCATCTATTAATCCAATATCCATTAAGGTCACTCTGCCAGGCAGGGTGGAGAGCTTAAGGCTGGAGCATGTGGCTTTGTGGGGGGGAGGGGTTGTGGTTGGTGAGGACACAAAGATGACTGCCTGAAGGAGCTCAGAGCCTCACACATGTTTTCTCTCCCCTCCCACAGGTAAGGCTGGCCTCTCTGCATTCAGAGGTCTGAGCTCTGCCATGGGGGTAGGGGTGTCTTTATTGCTGCAGCTTTCTCTGACATCTGGGGGCTACCGGAGTGTGGGCCGAAGCAGGCGCTGCAGCCGCAAAAGTATCCCCAGGAACATCCCCAGGAGGAGCTGGAAAAAGCCTCATCCCCAGCTCCGCAGTCTCCAGGGTAGAGTCTGGCCTTTGTTGTGTTCCCAAACCACTCCACAAGCCCAGCTCTCATGCCTTCCTATCCTGGCCAAAGGAAAGGGGCCTGTGGGGGAAGGATCCCTTTCTCGTCCAGGGGTCTTCCCTGTGCTCAGTCTGGCATTGGAAATGAGCCACGTTTGTGCTCCCTGAGAAGAGAGCAGGCTCTGGGGAGTTTAGGAGAATGTGTCTGGAGCTGGTGAGCAGGCACGGCGCCCCCAGCCCTCTGTGTAGAAGAGGTGTAGGAGGCTCTCGTGCAGGAATCTTGGCTCCCCTGAGCTGTGGAAGAGCTGAACATGGGGCAGCCCCTAGAAAGGTTGAGGCAGGACCAGGCAAGGGACAGAGATTACAATCTCTTCTTCTCTTCCCTTTTCTTGCCCCAGTAATCTCCAGCACCACAAGGGAGGCAGAGCCAGGGATCAAGGCCCTGAGGGCAGCAGGCTGTGGGTGTTCTTGGATTTGAGGAGAACTTTCCTTCCTGAATTGTCCTAATTGTGCCTGTGGGTAGAGGAGGGGAGGCAGGCGGAATGCGGGCACAGTCTGGACAGGTGGTGGCCTGGCATTAGACTGTGCTGGGAGCAGCCCCCCAGTGCTCCCCTCCTGTTCTCTCAGGAGGGCTGTTTTCACCTGCTCTCTGGGCTCCAGGCTTCTGCCCTGAGACTGAGGCTAGTGAGGCCGAAAGTGCCTCCTCTGTGGTGTGACAGGAATGAAAGGCTACAGAAATTTCTTTCTGTGAGCTCTTTGGAAACTCAGGTGTTTTAGAGGAAAGAACACTGGCCTGGGAGTTTTGGCTAAGTCTTGGTTCTGCTATTGGATTACTGTGTCATCTCGGGCAAGTCCCATCACCGTTTGAAGTCTCACAATTACTTCATCTGTCAAACAGGAGCTCAGTGCCTGCTTGTCCAGCCTCACAAGGTTGCTGTGAAGCTCAGGTGTAGCACCAGGAAACAGCAGAAACAAGGACAGGGCAACAGGAGAGCACTCTGAAAAGTCATAGGGCACTGTAGAGAAATGTGGGCACGCTTCCTATGAGGCCTGTGGCAGGAATGTTTGTGCAGCCAACACTGGAGTGTTTACTCCCTTCCTAACACTGGGGTAGCTGCCATGAGGGGGGATTCCAAGAAGTGTCAGACAGAGTCCCTCCCTCCTGGAAGTTTCCAGGGCAATAAAGACATGACAAATGTCCATGAACTGGTATCTAAAAACCTAAGATTGAAATAATGCATAACATACAAGGAAATAGAAACGTAGTCTAGATTCTTGTCAAGGGCTCCAGGAATTCCCAGGTGCGAGTTCCTCTCAGGAGCTGAGCTCGGGAGGGAGGATTGGGGACAGGATGAGTTGGTCTCTAGAGTGACTGTGCTTTTCCACCCTCAGCAGAGGAAGAACCGATGTTGGAACGTCGCTGCAGGGGCCCTCTGGCCATGGGCCCAGCCCAGCCCCGACTCCTTTCTGGGCCCTCCCAGGAGTCACCCCAGACCCTGGAGAAGGAGCCGCGTGGGCTGAGGCAACAAGGCACTTCAGTGGCCCAGCCGAGTGGCCAGGCCCCGGGCAGGGCCCATCGCTGTGCCCACTGTCGAAGGCATTTTCCGGGCTGGGTGGCCCTGTGGCTTCATGCCAGGAGGTGCCAGGCTCGGCTGCCCCTGCCCTGCCCTGAGTGCGGCCATCGCTTCCGCCACGCCCCCTTCTTAGCGCTGCACCGCCAGGTCCATGCTGCTGCCACCCCAGACCTGGGCTTCACATGCCACCTCTGCGGGCAGAGCTTCCGAGGCTGGGTGGCCCTGTGGCTTCATGCCAGGAGGTGCCAGGCTCGGCTGCCCCTGCCCTGCCCTGAGTGCGGCCATCGCTTCCGCCACGCCCCCTTCTTAGCGCTGCACCGCCAGGTCCATGCTGCTGCCACCCCAGACCTGGGCTTCACGTGCCACCTCTGCGGGCAGAGCTTCCGAGGCTGGGTGGCCCTGGTTCTGCATCTGCGGGCCCACTCAGCTGCAAAGCGGCCCATCGCTTGTCCGGAATGCGAGAGACGCTTCTGGCGACGAAAACAGCTTCGAGCTCATCAGCGCCGGTGCCACCCCCCTGCCCCTGAGGCCCGGCCCTTCATATGCGGCAACTGTGGCCGGAGCTTTGCCCAGTGGGACCAGCTGGTTGCTCACAAGCGGGTGCACGTAGCCGAGGCCCTGGAGGAGGCAGCAGCCAAGGCGCTGGGGCCCCGGCCCAGGGGCCGCCCCGCCGTGACCGCTCCCCGGCCGGGCGGAGATGCCGTCGACCGCCCCTTCCAGTGCGCCTGCTGCGGCAAGCGCTTCCGGCACAAGCCCAACCTGATCGCCCACCGCCGCGTGCACACGGGTGAGCGGCCCCACCAGTGCCCCGAGTGCGGCAAGCGCTTCACCAACAAGCCCTATCTGACCTCGCACCGGCGCATCCACACCGGCGAGAAGCCCGGGAGCCCTCGGCAGAGCCCCCGCCGGAGGCGCCCCTGAAAGCCGCGCCGGAGCCTGCAGCCGAGCCTCAGGCGGAGGGGCCCCTGCAGTCCTCGCGGGACCGGCCGGAAGCCCCTCCGTCCCTCTACAGCTGCGACGACTGCGGCCGGAGCTTCCGGCTGGAGCGCTTCCTGCGGGCCCACCAGCGGCAGCACACCGGGGAGCGGCCCTTCACCTGCGCCGAGTGCGGGAAGAACTTCGGCAAGAAGACCCACCTGGTGGCGCACTCCCGGGTGCACTCGGGCGAGCGGCCCTTTGCCTGCGAAGAGTGTGGGCGCCGCTTCTCGCAGGGCAGCCACCTGGCCGCCCACCGGCGCGACCACGCCCCGGAGCGGCCTTTCGTCTGCCCCGACTGCGGCAAGGCCTTCCGCCACAAGCCCTACCTGGCCGCCCACCGGCGCGACCACGCCCCGGAGCGGCCTTTCGTCTGCCCCGACTGCGGCAAGGCCTTCCGCCACAAGCCCTACCTGGCCGCCCACCGGCGCATTCACACCGGCGAGAAGCCCTACGTCTGCCCCGACTGCGGCAAAGCCTTCAGCCAGAAGTCCAACCTGGTGTCTCACCGACGCATCCACACGGGGGAGCGGCCCTACGCCTGCCCCGACTGCGACAGGAGCTTCAGCCAGAAGTCCAACCTCATCACCCACCGCAAGAGCCACATCCGGGATGGCGCCTTCTGCTGTGCCATCTGTGGCCAGACCTTCGACGACGAGGAGAGACTCCTGGCCCACCAGAAGAAGCACGACGTCTGAGAGGGGCAGGGGCTGCGGAGACCGAGGGAAGAGACAGGGCCTGGTGTGGTTCGCAGCAGGAGCGTGGCTGGGCTGTGGCTGCCTGCCTTGGTGCCGGCGTGTGTAGGGAGCTGAGGGGAGCCCCAGAAGGGCTGGAAGAGCTGAGAGTGAGCTGAGTCCTGTTAGCAGCGCGGGAGGTTAACCCCCCTCGGGAAGCTCACTTCAGAGTGCAAGGACCCCAGCTTCCACCTGGCTTTGCCAAGGCTGGGTCCTGACTGCCCTGTGCCCGGGAAAAGTAGCAATAGCTCCGTCTACCCCTGAGAGCCCTCTGGCTAGAGGAGCCACCAGTCCATCCTCTGGTGTTAACGCCTTAATGCCCCTGTCTTTTACTATGAGTTGCTTCAGATCATTTTTGGAGGTAGGTGTGGTACAGTCTTTAGTAAGTAAACGCTTGGGGAGGAAAAGTGGACCAGCTGGATACACCTTGGAGAACCTGCTGGCCTTGTTAAACGGCACCCAGGCCTTTGCCAGCAACATCCATAGGTGAAGCCGAGCTGCTCATACCTCCCCCTGCCCTGTCCCCTCCCTCCTGCCCCCTGCGCAGGCACCCAGACTTGGAGAGGCCCATCTACTGTTAGGTATTCCATCCTCTTCTTCCCTGAAGATCCAGCCCCCAGGGAGTTTCCTCCTTGGTCTGGCTTGCTTTATCCACCATCCTGCCAGCATTTTGAGCTTCCCCAGGTTGTCAGCAGCCCTGTATCCAGGATTTTGTCCGAACACCCCAACCCCTCCTTCACTCCTTCCAAAGCTCAACATGGCATGGAAAGGACTGTCCCATTGATGATGGAGGATCAGCTGAAGGGAAGGATGTGGGTGACTTTCCTTTTCAACATTTCTAGCATATGGATACCCCGTCTTTGCTTGTGCACTTAGGTGACAGGGAGTTCCCCACCTCCTGAGGCCCTGGTTCTATTGTAGGATGATTCAAATTGTTAGAAATTCTTCCTTATAATGAATGGATTCTGCTTTCCTATAATTTCTACCTACTGGGCCTTGTTCTGTTCTCTGGAACTAAACAGAACAACCATTTACCCTCCTTTTCAAACTAGAGAATAAAGATTTGGTTTTAGAACTGGTGGCTGGGGAGTGTTCCTTGTTCCTGGGGGTCTGTGCACTTTGAGGGAGGAGCAGCATGTTCTGCTTCCCGGGAAGGAGTGGGGACTGTGGTAGGGCTCTGGCAACAGGCCAAGTGCCCCCCTCGCTGGGCTCCTTTCCTTAGTGCCTTCGGTTCTTCCCTGAGGAGGAGGCCAGACACACCCAGGAGGTTGGGCTAATTCTCTGGGTGGTGGGCCAAGGCTCCAGAGAACTATGGTGAGTGGAATGCTCTCAGCCTGGAACCCACATCTTGGTTCCTGGCCACTCGCCCTCCTATGGTGAGCCCAGGGCCACCATGGTCTTTCTCACCTCTTTGGCCTTCCTGAAACTCCAGTGAACACTGAGAAGCCCTTCTTGAGGGGCATGGATGTTACAGACTGCTTAGACTTGGACCCTCTCTGCAGCAGGCCCACGGGAGGGTTGACAGCACAAATGCTGGAGTCCAGCTCCACAGGATTCGTTGGACCTGAATAGGTGGTGTGGTGTTGGCAAAAGAAAGAGATGGACCACAAATGTCTAGTGCAAATGTGGACAACCACCACATGAATCTTGTTTTATTTATACCTTTTTACTTATTTTTTACATAATGATTTATCTTTTAATCAAAACATTTTTTATTTCATTTCTACTGAAAAGGAAAGGTCAAAATGTTCCAAGGCACTCATGCTCTGACAAAAACATCTACTCATGCATCAATAGTTTACCCCAAAGCCTGTGGCTTGTGGCCAGGAAACTATACAATAGCAGCATGTTTGGCTTTAAAGAGTGTCAGACTTTTAGTCTGAACTATAATACTTAACCTTCTTAACTTATATGAAAACTTACATTTAAAATTTTTATCTAATCTTATACTTACGTTTAACAATTTAATAATGTTTATGTTTATATCAGCTATGCTAATTCTTAACCAACTAAAACCATATTACTTATATCATAATTCTATATAATAAAATATAACAATAAATCTCTATTACTGTTAAATGATTTTAAATTATGAACTAACCTAAAACAAACCTGTTAATATCAAAACTTGTTTATATTCTTATACTATTTTACTTATTTATCTCTGTAACAAAACGTTTCATATCTCTGCCAACTGACTCTGGGAACAGCACAGGGGACAAGGTGAAAAGTTAAATGACCCTTCTCAAGTTTATAAAAGTACACTGCGTCACTCTTATTATTACTATGGAATGATATATTCTTGGTGAGTCAAATGAAGCAGTGGGAGTAGAGAAAGAACAAAGAAACCTGTAACTGGTTGTGATCAATTAGTTGTAAATGCCACTGTGCTCAGACCCACTGTCTCCCTAGGAGACGTGGATTTATAAAAATTTAACACAATAACTTCATTGCACACGCACAAGAGCATGATCACAACTATAGAGCCAGTTATTCTAAAATTATGGGTCAATGCACACACCACTAACAGGAAAGATCAACAACAAAATTAAATCAAACCAACCCATACTAGGAACATGCATCAAAAACACATTTAGTACTGACAATGCCCTTTAAATGAACCAGTTAATTTTGATGTATTTTAACATGTCCTTTGAGAAACTCCAGGGCCCTTGGAACCTCCCAAAGCCATACAAAAGGTTAGGCTGTTTAATTCTGGGAAGCCTTGTCAAGCAACCAAAGGTGAACAAACAGGAAATTGTGCCACACACACGGGACCCCCCTGCAGCCTAGCTGTGAACAAGGGGTGTCACTCCTCAGGCTCCCAAGCCATTCCCCATAGCAGGATGGCTCTCAACACACAAAGAAGAACGAGTCTCTGGGAGGAGAGGCGATTCTGAGCAGCACAGGCAGATCTTACATCCCACACACATAGGTGCAATCCCCATGGCCAGGGGGTCAGCCTTCTCTGGGATTGGGTCAGACTTATCAGGTGCCAGTTGCCAAGAGGGAAAGAAGGGCTAGTTGGATGCTGGCCTGCTGCAGTTTCCCAGGTCACTATGCACACGTCCCTGCACTGGTTTCATACAAATCTGAGTGCCTATTTTTGTCAGGCATCAGGAGGCTCTTTTGTGTCTTAGTAATTTCTGCATAGATCCCCACCACTTGGTGCAGTGTCTGATGCCTAAGCATAACCCCATTTTGCTTATGGGAGTGGTACCTTGCAATGAAGTTTACCTAAATTCCCTCAGGCAATCCTTGTGTGGTAGGTACTTTTAGTCCCCTTTAATAGGTGGAAACATTTGCCCACAGTTGTATAACTGGTCATCACCAGAGGCGGATTCAGATGCGGGTCTGTCGGGCACCTGAACCCTGCGCTCCTCTCCACCACCATGTACTCACTGGATGAATGAAGCATGCTGCTGCTCTTGGTTAAGTATTAAATGCCTACTGTGTGCTTGATGTTGTGATGTAAACTGGAGGGTTACAAAGATAAGACCCAGTCCCCACCCTTCTAAGGCCTGGGTCTGGAGAGGATATATGTAGGTACACAAATAATGAGTAGGGAAAGAGGGAGGGGGTGGATGGGCCTCAAAGTGTGTAGGATGGAAGTGAAAAGCTTCAGAGCTGTTCATATTGGTTTGTGGGGTTATGGGGTCACTTGAAAACCTGTGCAGTTGATAGCAAATTATCTGTCAAGAGCCTGAGGCAGAGGGTACGCTCTTAAGAAAGTCCCACTCACATCTGTTCTGAGGGAGCACAGGGCTTCAGGGAAGGGGAGATGACCAGGAAAGAGTAGGTAAATGTCTGGATGATGGGCATGGAGTGGGGGACAGGTCCTTGGGCATCTAGGTTAGTACTGGGGAATTGAGGACAAGGATAAGGAAAAGAGGGAATCTGGCCACGGGTCCTGACCTTTCTGAAAAGTTATTGTTTTTAAAGGAAATAGCCTGGGGTATGGGGAAGGCAGGCACTGGGTATCCTCGGTGATGTGCTGCCCACTGCTTGTGGGTAGGGATGGTGAGGAGAGGCCCACCACACAAGTGGCCTTGAGGAGGCTGGTAAAGCAAGGACAGAGTGGACTTGCCCTCAGTTCCTTCTGGAGCCCCTTGGGGAGCCCAGTGGTTGCCAAGTCCTTGCTTGGCATGGTTTGTTCCAACATCAGTCATGGGGCAGGGCTGCCTGAGTTGTAGGGATCAGAACTCTGCTGACAGGAGCTGTCCCTTTCTTCTGAAGAATCTACTGGTTTTCTTTTTTTTTTTTTTTTCCTTGTACAATTACAAAAGTATTATCTTTTAAAAGATTAAATAATACAGAGCAATTAATTTTTTTTTTTTTTGATGTGAAAGTCCTTCATTCCCTCATCTAACCTGTCAAGTCCTTTCTCTTTATGCCATGAAGAGTTTGAGGGGTATTCTCCCAGACATTTTTCCTGAGCATTTGCAAACATACATATGCAGCCTCCCCTTTCTTTGCTTAATGGAAATAGGATCCCAGATGTGCTTTGTTCTTTCCACCCTTGAAATACCCTTGGTCATGGGATGTCAATTTGGAGGAAGTTCTTCACTCCATAGAAGAGGAAACAGGTCCAGAGAGTGGAAGTGACTTTCCCAGTGTTACCAAACAAGGGTCCACCCTCCTGATGTGCAGCCAAGCCAAACACAATACTGAGTTTTGCAGTGAAAAAAGTATAGGCTTTATTGTAGGGCACCATGCAAGGAGAACGGGAAGCTATTGCTTAAAACTCGAACTCCCTGCTGGCTTTTAATCATGGGTTTTTAAAGGCAAAAATTAAGGGTAAGGGTCTCGGGCTCGTGAACAGCTCGAGGACATCTGTTTGGTTGACTCTTGTGCAAAGCTTCAGCAGTTTCTTTAATCTGATATATTTCTGTCCTTGGTGTCATCCTGCCTGAAGTTGGGTGGTCTACGTGACTGTGGTAGGGTGGTCTGTTTTATCCTCAACCTCAAGAATCTGTAAAACAACTTGAATCTGTACATCATGCTATCACTTCCAAAGCAAAAAGCAGAAGCATCTTGTGATTCTAAATCACTACTGACTATTGTTTAAACTATTATTACTTTATGCTTAACTGGCTACATTCTTCTGTAAGATAAACAGGACGTTCTTTAAGCAACTTCCTTAATCATTTCCCTGTTGCAAGTTCTCATACTTATTTACTAAAGTCTATGGGCTTAACTGCCATAATGGCTATCGGCTATTAAACTGAGCAAAATAAATATTTGATTCTCTAAAAGTTAAAACCAAATAAAATCTATGGCTGTTGGTTTCACCAGGGTCACACTTGTAGCCAGTGGCAGATCTGGTCCCTGAAACAGGAATGAATTCCACAAGCATTTGTAGAGCCTACTCTAGATATTCTAGAAAATACAAAGGTGAATGAGACTCTAAAGAGTTGAAGGCTAATTGTATGTGGCCTCTGTGTAGGTGTGTAGGGTTTTTAAAATGCTTCTATGGACAACATAATCAAGTGTAACTGTAAAAATCCAGGAAGACATGTAGGCAGCTAGAAAATTATTAACTCTGTTTTACAGATAAATAAGTCAAAGTCCAGAGATGGAGAAGTATCTTTTGTAAAAACTGCACACGAAGATAGTGGCAAAATGGACAGAATCTGGGTCCCCAGCTTCTAGCACGTTACTGAGGCTAAGCAGCAGCGGGGCCTAGGGCAAATGCTTAACCAGCTGTTGACTGATTAAGTAAAATGACGTCCACCTGCTGAGCAGTGAGTTTGCAAAGTCTCAGAGAGGCCAAGCTTGTTGGTATCACCGTCGTGTCCCAAAGACAGTTTCTAAGCAGCTCTAGAGAAAATCCTGCCAGCGGGAGTTGACCCCGCTGTGCCCCCTTGGAGGCAGAAGTGTGTGGAATTTCCTTCCAGTCGGGTGGATGAGAAAATACATTTTCCCGAAGGTCTGTGGTAACCGAAGATCCCCGCCGGCGGGCCGGACCAGGTCCGCAGCCGGGAGAGGACTCCCGTCCTCCGAGCCCTGCTCCACTTAGCAGCTGTGCTCCGCAGACCCCGCTTCCGCGGCTGGAAGACGAGGGGCTGATGCCGTGAAT